TGAGACCAGACAGAACTGCACCACGCGTCAGAAAGGCCCCAAGTCCACGGATCGGGAATGGCTGCGGGTCCCCGAGGACGAGCCCGGGCGGCCCACCGCGCCCTGCGGGGCGGCCCCGGGTCGGGGGGCAGAGCCGGGGCTCCGAGGACACCCGCGGGCGGCCCGGCAGAGGTCAGGACGAGGCCCCCCGGCGGGGCTGCGGGGCTGCGCGGCCAGGCCGAGAACAGCCAGCGGGCGCCTCCCGGCCTCGCCCACCTGCGCGGGGCGCCCTCACCTTCTTGACGGCCGGCTGGAAGTGGAAGTCACCGGCCTCCTTCAGGTCCAGCCAGATCATGGGCATGCGGGGCACGGCCTCCATGGCGCCCTCCGCCCCGCGCCGCTAGGGCTGGGGCTCCCCGCGCGCCCGCCCAGCCCCTCCGCGCCGGAAGTCCCGCGTCACGCGGGGACGGAAGCGCCCGCGCGGCCTGCTGGGAAGCGCGTCCCCAGCACCGCCGGTACCCGCGCCCCGCTGCCGAGTTCACATGCGTGCTCTCCGCCGAGTGACGCTGCGGTCTGGGCGGTGGCGAAGGGGCTCCCGGAGGAGCGCCCGTCGTCTGCCGCGGCGCCGCGCGCTCCTCCTCGGGGGCCGGGCGTGGGGGGCGCGCCCCGAGGATTAGTTCCCATGGTTGGCGAGGGCCCTGGGGCCCCCGTGGAGGCCCCGCGGCGGGCGGGCTTTCCGGGGATGCGACCGGTCTGTGCGAGCTTGGAACGAGGAGCAACTGGGTGGAGGCCGGCGGTGCTTAGGGGCGGGCGCCGCGGGGCGGGGACGTGCGGGCACGAGCGTGCCACCTGCCCTCGGAGTGAGATGAGAAGGGTTCGGAGAGCGTGAGAGCAGAGCTGGAACAGGGACGCCGAGGAGGACCCTTCTGTAGTCTTCCCAGAGAGGGGTGATGTTGGGGGGAGACAGAGGGAAGTGAAAAGCGGGCAGAGTTACGAAAAGAGTGGCCAAAGTGGGGTGCGTGGATGAGGGCAATGAGAATGTCAGACAATTTCCGAGTTTCCAGCTGGGTGATTGCAGGGCTGTCTACTAACAAGGGGGTGCTGGGAAGAGTACAGATTCACATCTGTGTTAGATGCCTCTGAGTCACTCAGTATGTTACGGGTTGAGTTCTCAGTTCTTTTCTCGCTGCAACAAAGAATTAAAAGGCAGAGACACAATAGCGAAGCAGTGAAAATTTTATTTGAATACGTTCCAAGGGAGGAGCTGGCCATAGCCAAGGTATACAAAGGCCATAAACGTAGGGGAGGCACTTCTTTGATAGACAGGGTGAAGCTATTTGATTGACGGTTCTGGTTATACAGCCATTCCTCCTTGTGCTCCTGTCTTTTCCCAAAATGCCGATAGTGGGAGAGGAAAATGGCAATTTTTTAAAGATGAGGTTATGATGAGTGATCCTTGGATTGAAATAGCCTTGGATAGGATTGAAATTCAGTTATAGAGAAAATGAAGGACTTATAAATTATTTTCACTTTAACCAGTAGCTTAATGTACATATCATTTTATTAAAAAGGTTGTTCATTGAAAATCATGAGGTATTTATTGTATAGATGCCTTTAAATGGGTTTTAAATATAGGCTTTTTTTCTTATTCTAGAAATGTTCATTAGTTTATCTTAATTTGAATTACTGCTTATTCTAACATGTTGCCTGTAACATTACCCTTCCAAGTTGAATTATTCTTTTCACGGGGCATGAAGAAAAATTCAGCAGGCAATTGAACGAAAACAGGTCAGGTCGGGTTTCTAAATGTTTCACTTGTGGTAATTTAGACTTAACTTTTTTTTATTCCTCAGGTGTTTTATTGTGTATGAAAGCAACTACTGATGGTTAACAATTTACACTGTTACTTGCTGAGTGTATTGTTAGCAGTGCGGCTAGTGTTCTTAAACTGTTCAACGGCTAATCAACGGCTTACTTAAAGGGTTGCAAAGATGTGAGACGAAGACGGACCTGCCATAAAAGGCATGGAATTGGGTTCTGATAATGACTGAGCTTCTGCACTTTTCTACTTTGTTGTATATAATAATTGCTGGAATGTTAAGATAACTTATGCTTTTTAAAATACTTAACTGTTTGTACAGGAAGTGTTTTCCTAAAGCACGGTTCAGAACTGTGAATTATTCCTAGAGATTGTGTTGGAAGTTGCTAATATCTGCTATATGGAAACCTAGGATTACCTTTCAAAATAAATATTGGTATTGTTGTAATTTGAAATCAGGCTTTAAAGAACTGTGAAAACATCAGTAGTTGACAAAATAATGAAAGGCAACTCTGTCCTTTCTGTGCTCACACTGTTCATGTGAAGGCAGGCTTGGGTGTTGAGGGTACCGTCTCCACAGAGGATCATAGCCTTTCACTGCTGCCTCTCAGCACAGGCCTCTCATTCGTTCGGGGTCAGTGGGTTCTCCAACTGCGTTTTGTGTATGGAAGATGCTTCTGATCATTCTTTCTGCAAAGTTGCAATCTTTCGGCTGGGGAGCCGCAACCCGCGGCCGGGTGGCGCGGGAGCGGCCGGGGTGCGAGCCCGCCCCGCAAGCCAGCCCGGTGTCCGCATCGCCGCCGAGTTTGAAGCATCCAGTGAAAACGCAGGACGCCTGCGTTCACGCAGCCGCCCCGGCCTGGGCGGAGCGAAGATGCTCGGAGCGCCGCGCCGGGGGCGGGGCGAACCTCGCGCCCCGCGAGGCCCGCCGATCCCCGCGGGCGGAGTCCGCGTTCCCACTGCCGGCCGCGCAGCCGCGCAGGGAGGCGACGCCACGTCGCGGGCAGCTGCGGGGACGACCGCGGGAGGCGCGCGCCCCCCGGCGCCTCCGCCTCCCCGGGCCAGCTGCTCAGGCCGGCCGATGAGCCCGGCGACCTTACCGCGGCCCAGCCGCCCTCCGGCCAAGTCGGTGTGTCAGAACCCCTCCGTGGTCCTGGGGGCGCGCCAGACACACCCCCGGGTCGCGCGGGCCCCACCAGGTCGCCGGCCTACCCTGGTGCCGGGACCCGGCTGCCAGCGCCTCGGTCCGCCCCAGGAGCCGGGCCCATAGGCGGCAGGTCGCCGGCCTGACAGCGCCCCCTCCCCGGGCTGTCCAGGCCCCGCGCTGATGCCCGGCCGGCGCCCCCTGGCGGCCCCCAGGTGTCAGCCCCCACCTCCCGCGGGAGCCGAGGGCGCGCTGTCCCCGCGGCTGCCGCCGCCGCCGCAGGCGCGGAGCAGAGGGGCTGGGGTGACGGCCGCGCGCCCTCCCCACTGGCAGGGACTTCGGGCCTTTCTTACGCTCTTAATCTACGATACTACTACTAAGCTTTCTCTTACACTTTTGAAAAAAGAGTCATTTTTTTCTATAGAATTTACTAAGTTCTGAATTTTGTTTTCATCGTCATGGTGTCATTTTAACATGTACTCTATCCCTATTTTCCCCGTAAATGGGCAGTTGGCTCCTGAGGCTTGATTAGTTTCAAGTTCTGTGATTTGGGCAGAGTGTTGCGTAGGTGGTGCTGTGCACTCCTGCTGGCATCACATCGGGAGCACGTGCTGTGTGCCTTTTCCGATGTTAATGTTGATCCCTGGGCCCAGGTGTCAGTCTAATCCTTCCATTTATTGTTCCTATGAGCTTTTCAGGTGCTGATTTTAGTGGCCATTTGTCACCTTTGTCTGTGTCCATTGTGGCAAAGTGGTGATGTTCTAATTCTGTCCTTCCTTCTGCATTTGTTAGTTGAAGGTCTGTGTAATTCTAGAGAGAAGAACATGCCCTACCTATAGGAATGGTAGGATAATAAGCAGGCACTGATGCCATAGCTCACTCCAAAGGTGACCGGTGAGGTTCTTGCTGTGTTATCTTTATGAACTGATGATACATATATATCATATATGTATATATATGTATATATATATGTATATATATATATATCATAATTTAAAAAATTCATTTTGTTATCATTAATCTACAATTACATGAAGAACATTATGTTTACTAGACTCCCCCCTTCACCAAGTCCCCCCCCATAAACCCTATTACAGTCACTGTCCATCAGCGTAATAAGATGCTATAGAATCACTACTTGTCTTCTCTGTGTTGCACAGCCCTCCCGGTGCACTACCCCCCACATTATACATGCTAACCGTAAGGCCCCCTTTCTTTTCCCCACTCTTATTCCTCTCTTCCCACCCACCCTCCCCTTCTTAGTGTTTTATGGTGTAAAAATGCACTTAGTACAACTGCTGTTCCTACTGACTTCATTTGAAATCTCAGCCAAAATTCTCTCCTCAGGATTAATATTTAAAATGGGAATTACTGAAAAGATTTAGTATAGATATTTTTTTGACATGTAGACACTGAGTATGTGCATTGGTTTTTTCCATAACCCTGCCATAACATCATCTTGAATATGCTTTCATCCTGAATATCGTGATCAGTATCAAGTATAAAAATGTCTTTGTAATAGCAGTGAAGTACATGTAGGGGCTAAGACCCCAGATTTTAGAGAGAGACAGTCCTGGGTTCAAATCACACATTGCTCATTGCTGTTTCTTATTGCCAGTGCACCTCAGGAAATGATTTAACCTCAGTGGGCCTGTGGTTCCCTCAGTGGTAATATAGGGACAGTGAAACCCACCTTACTAGGTCAAATGATTATGAAGATTAAAGTAAACAACACATTCAAAATGCCTCGAACAGAGCACGGTGCTTGGACTGTCGGGTGTAACTGTCATCCATGATGCAAGCAAGAGCAGTGCTTGTGTCCATGGCACCCATTGTGTGAGGTGATCATGTGCAATGATTCTGAGCCTGGCTCCACAGCATAAAGGGCGGTCAGGACTGCTGGCTCTGGCTGCAGAAGTGCCCAGAGTGGCTCAGGCTGAATCCTGCTTTAAGGTTCTTTTAAGGAGAAAGGAACACTAAAAAAGTTTTCTTAAACTTCACACCAAAGGAATTCTTTCTCAAAAAAGAAGTATAAGGTAATTTTAAAATTGTTTTAGAAAGGTTATTTTGAAAGAATGCTTTTCCTGTGTCTGGACATACTACTTGGGACTATAAGTAAGGTAACGTAACAGTGTATTTGTTTTGATTTCCTTATGGGGGACAACCAGCTCTTGATTATTACCTATGCACTAAGCAGGCTTATTCCTGTAGTACACTAGCGTATGTGTTTCCACGAGGAGACTTCGAGTGGCAAATCTGAAATATCACAAAAGTAGGCAAAATAATGTGCATCATGTACCTATCATCAGCTTTAGAAATTATCATATGAACAATGTTGTTTTGCATATATTCCCATCTACTGCTCCTCTTCCATAATTTGTTGAAGCAAATCTTAGACATCGTACTTCATCTGTAAATGTATCTAAAAGATAAGAATTCTTGTTCTCTACAAAAGTATCACAATGCCATTATCATACTTTAAAATAATTTCTTGATATCATCAAATATCAGACATTGTTCAAAATTTTCATTGTTTAAGTTTTTAACTCTCAGAATTTCCTGAACAGTTTGTCTATTCGAATCAAAATCTAGGTAAGGTCCAAACATTGGGCATGTTTGATACATCCTTTAGGGCCCCTTACGTCTTCTCACAGTGTTTTCACTTCTTGAAATTTATTTGTTGAATAGACTGGGTAATTTGTAGAATTTCCTACAGACTGGGTTTTGCTGTATAGTTTATAAAGCCAGGGAACTGTTTGTCACCTTTTTATATAGACTCTCTTACTTTGTTCTTTAGTTTTCTACCCTTTTTCATGGCTTCCCTTAATATTAATTTCACCCAGATTTTACCTTTATAAGAATATTTAAATTATTAGCCTTCATAGAATATCTTGCATCAAGCCCACCCCCTTGGAATGGTCCGCTGAGTCCTAGGCAGGCCTGAGAATCTCAAGCTGATCCCATTGCCTCTCATCACTCTCGTTCACTTACAGTGTATAAAGTGACATAGATGCTGTTAATTATAGACTGTTTGGGAATTTATATTCAGAGTGGAGAGAGTTCGAGTTAGTTAGATTTCAGGGTTGTGCCAAATCTCCATACTAGATTTATTTAATAAATATTTTATTATTAAAATGATAAAAAGTACATGTTCCATTTGTATCTGACATGCTCTGACAATCTAGGTTAATCGGTTCAATAAATGTGCTATTAAAATGTGGCATGAAGTCCTTGAATTTTAAGTTTAAATGGCTGCTGAATAAAGATCCTTGATATTGTCATACAGTTTTTATGTGTTAGGTAGAACCACATGAAATTGCCTATTTTGTAAGTAAAAAATGATTACATATTTGCAATTTTATATAGTTCGACCTAATGGACAACTATAGAACCTCAGAAAAGGAACTTGGAATACTTGTAGCATGTTCTAAATCTTCCCTGAAATTATATATTAAAAGCTTTTTATTTTTTAGGAGAAAGAAATCAGAAGACAACAAGCTGTTCTTCTGAAGCATCAGGTCTGTAGACATAAAGTTAAACAATTGTTGAAATGTACATTTTATAATTTTTCTTAAATCTTAATTTGGGGAGAATCTTTGAAAATATTTTCTTAAAAATTTCCATTATGATTCACCCTTAAGTTTTCCCTTCATCTTACAGTTATTGCCTTGCTCTGGTATTGGTGTCTTTTTGGGGGTTAAAACTTGGTTTCCCGACTATGTGATTTCTGTTTCATAATGTTGTGCCAACTCTTTGTACCAGGAGGTGGAGAGGCATAGATTAGATATGGAATGGGTATGTTTATTTTTGTACATCTAACACCACATTGTGATTTGGTTGTGATATGGTTGTCATAGCAATGCATGAAGTGTAGCACTGGCTGCTGTCATATTACGTACTGCTGCATGGCTTTACAGCACAGTGCATTGCATACATCTGCTTGTCTGTCTGTAAGTATGATCTGTCCCCAAGATTTTTAATTGAGTTGTGTAAGCCTTATTGAAGGCCGCTGTCTGAAAATTTGTGTTACTGATGTCAAAATGAAAGTTGGATAACTGTACAATCAGGTACAATTATGACCCATATTCTCCCATCTTTCCAGCTGCACAACTGCCACTGAATACAATGGGAATCTTCAGTTAGGCTGATGAGAGAATATGAAATAGATTCATGTTTTATAGCTAAATTTTAGAAGTGATATTAGAAATATCCCTTTGGGGGTACTAAAAAGAATTGATTAGACGTTACAACTTTGATTTTTGAATTTTGAAATGAAATGAGATGATCAAACCAAACTACTGGTAGTGCTTATCTTATTTTCATACTGTGCCTTTTAGATGCCCTTATGGCCAATGGTGCAGCTTTTATGGCTTTAAGTAGTGCATCAAGTGGCAGACATCAGTAAATAGGAGTATCGCGTTTCATTGGTATCTGTATATGAACCACATCTAAGCAAAGAGCAGAGAAAAGGAACAATGGAGGAAAATGATTCAGGTCATTTGTCAAAAGAACCCAGTTGTACCTCTGTTAAGGAACCAAAATGAGAGGAGGCTGAGTATGTGACTTTTTGACGGTATTATTTCTGTTCCACTGTCCTATATGTTCATAACATCCCATTGTATTTGTTTAGAAAGGTTCCATCGTACTACAGGTGACTTTTTGACCATTTGTGTAAATAGGAATTTTCCTATGTAATGTCAACTCTGTACTATAAGTAAATGTCTTCTTTCATCTTTTTTATGAATTAATTTGCATTGTCTTTACTTGAAAGACAATGAAAGCTAAACTTTTACTAAAGATGGACAACTCTGAAGCATGGATGTTGATTTGAAACATTATTTTCTCTAGTTTCGTCTTTGCTGAAGTGGTAAATCGTCTCTGTGAAGATTTGAGAAAAGGAAAAATGGAGGCAAACACTTGTGACTTGAAAGAACTGCCTCCTTTTACTTATTCTAAGAAGCAATAGAGAAGCCGGACCTCTACCAGGACATGACTTTTTCCCGGTATTATTTCTGTTCCCCTGTCCTATGTGTTCATAACATCTCCCACTGTATTTGTTTAGAAAACTTCCACCATATTACAGGTGACTTTTTGACAGTCTTTGTGAGTGGAAATTTTCCTATGTAATGTAAACTCTGTACTGTAAGTAAATGTATTCTTTCATCTTTTTTATGAATTAATTTGCATTGTCTTTACTTGAAAGAGGATGAAAGCTAAACTTTTACTAAAGATAGATAACTCTGAAGCATGGATGTTGATTTGAAACATTATTTTCTCTAGGATGATCCTCACTGATATGCATACTCGCCTCAGTTAAGCGTTGAGAATAGGAAAAAAAGAGGAAAACACTTGTGACTGGTCCAAACTACCAACTTTTAGTTTCATTAAGACAACGAAATGAGAACACTCTAAGGACCTGATTCTTTGCAGGTATTATTTCTGTTCCCCTGTCCTGTATGTTCATAACATCCCCTTGTATTTGTTTAGAAACCTTCCACCGTACTACAGGTGACTTTTTGACAATTTGTGTAAATAGGAATTTTCCTATATAATGTCAACTCTGTACTATAAGTAAATATATTCTTTCATCTTTTTTTGTGAATTAATTTGCATTGTGTTTACTGAAAGAGAATAAAAGCTTAACTTTTACTAAAGATAGATAACTCTAAAGCATGGATATTGATTTCAAATATTATTTTCTCTAGTATGATCCTTACCGAAATAGAAAATCATGAGGATGCATGGCCTTTTCATCTTCCTGTAAACTTGAACTTTGTTCCTGGTTATACCAAAGTTATTAAGAAGCCTATGGATTTTTCCACAATTAGAGAGAAATTAATTAGTGGACAGTAAGTACATCATTTCTGTTCAGTGTTTATTGAATGTTTGTTATGTGCTCAGTACTCTTATAGTGAGCCAAGAATACATCAATTACAAGCCCTGCCTTTAGAGACAGGATATATATGTGTGGTTAAGGTAGTATGATATGGAAGACAAGTTAATTAAAATTATATCAGTAATTAGAAATAGTATAATTAAGCTGTTTTGATACTGGAAGGCCACCAAACCTAGCCTGGGAGTTAAGGAAAAGTATCAGGGAAGCCTCCCAAAGTGACTAAGTGACATGTAAGCTGGAGCTTATATTGTGCATCGTTGGGATATCAATACCATTTCATGTGCATTTCACCAAAATTGATTTCATAATATTTTCAGATTATTATAAGATAGATCGTTGGAAATTTTAAATAATGAAAGCTTTACAATGAATCGTAGATTACAAAAAAGGCATTTGTTAAAAGTAGAAGAAAACTATTATTTGCCCCTGTCCCTACCATATCGTCTTTGTGATCCTATCCGAAGGGTAAAATGGCTTCCTGG